GGCCTCGATGTCGATCAAGGAGTCTGCTCGTATAGCCCAGAGCAACAACTTTATGGGTCTGATCTGCAGATCTAGCCTTTTGGTATGTTCGATCCTATTTTTACGCGCGATACTCCTTTCTCTCTCTAGTTCACTTACTGACCACTGTGTAGAATGTTGTTCCCGCACTCGTCGAAACCATCAAGGAGCTCGGCCTTGTGCTTGTGGCTGACACTTCTGATGATGTCAGTCAGTCAGATAGATTCGAGGAGCTACCCTCCACCGATACCATGGGGGTTGCCGATTGGGCATACCGTATGCCCGACGGTGTTAATGGCGTGATGAGAGCCAACGGCATTTTGAGATTTAACGATATGATCGATATGTGATCCGATTCACCCTTGCTTTCCTTTGGGAAGATACACCCTTTACATACGTCGCAATTTAATTTCAACAACGAATATTACGAGGTTTGGTAGCCTTTGCCATGCTATACTTGCTTTATTGTCATGTCCTCTATTTTGCTCCTGGTTAGGTATTTCAAACAACAGAGATAGTCCCCTGCATGTGACATTCTCTTTATTGCTTTCTATCTTTGTTATTTCTTATCTTGTCTTGGGCGCTGGAGATAGAGGTGGGCTTGTCTGGGGTTCTGGTGTCGTTGATTACATGTAGATCATCTGGAGAGCGTTTTAAGAGAAGGCAAAAAAAGAATTGCCGTATTAGAGAGCTGAATGGCTAATAATGTACAATGGTCCGAATCCCAAGTCCTGTATCTCCCGCTATGCTACATAATCAACATCACCCTCACGTACTTTTGGGCTTCCTCTTCCCAATATCCCACCCCCATCTACGCAGGATCTTCACAACCTTTGGTGTCACTGCCGCTGTCAACGGCACTCGAATAAATATAAAGCTCTTGTGGATGGCATAAGCGAAAACCAATTGCGTCCAGATACCTGTAAGAAACACCAATTAGAACCCCAACCCGTAGAAACCAGAGCAGAAAGGACGAAAAAAAAACCTACTAGCTTCTTCCTGATTCCGCTCCTCAGCCTGAGCAAGTTGGCCCTGCCCATCCTCCGTCTCAGGACTCTGAGTCTGCGGCCACACAGTCTTGAGCTTATCCTTAACAAATCCAATAACAACATGTTCGTAGTATCCAATGCGCTCAACACCAAGCAAGCGCACGGCCGCAAAACAGAATGGGAAGTCTAGCGCAGACAGTCCAAGATACACTCCGAGCGCAGCCCATCCATACTCCCGCGACAGCTTCTTCAATCGCTGCGATAGCGATGCTTTCTCCGAAGCTCCAGATCCAGCCCCAGATCCAGATCCCTTAGCACCATCAGCAGCCGACCCGGAATTGAACCGGCGCTGCTTAAACTGGAACGGGCTCGGTGCCGGACGGGTGCGCGTCGAGAAGCGCGCTGTCGTGAGGTTCCGACGTGCGGCTTGTGTTCCCTGTGCGAAGATTGTGCTGCGGCGTGCGAAGGATGCGCGGGTCGAGGGGTGGAGGTATGAGGATAAGCTTGGAGTTTTGAGGATCTCACTAGGGCGCGAGATCCATTTTGTGAGGGTTGGGCGGAGGGACATGGTAGGTTTGGTTGTGTTCCCCTGTTCTTGAATGAGGGGTTTGTGTGTGTGATTTGAACAAATTGGGGTGTTGAGTCTGGAGAGGACATGGAATTCGTGTTTTTTTTCCCTCTTGTTTCGGCGTTTTCGGCTTCCGGTCCGATCGGGTTGGCGTGTATGTCGGAGTTAGGGATTAATGCGGGTTCTGTTGGTGTTGATATAGAAGGGGATGGTAGATGGTAGATGAAATATTCGAATGACTTTTATTGCTTTTCTTGTTATTATTCGTACAAAAGACCCTAGTCTAAGTTATCCCCTAAACCCGTGGGAAGATGGACAATCTCTCAGCTCTGGCTTTTTGTATACTTCGGACGCATATACGCTGACTAAGCCCAACACCAAAAACTTCCCGAGTTCTCAGCCACGACGAGCACCCCAATCTCCCTCCCAATATCAAACCCACCATGTCGCCGCGTTTAGGAGGGCTACTTCAGCTCTCTCCCGTATGGGGAGCCCCATTGATCACACCCCGGATCCCCGTGCGCTCATTCGGAATCCGATCCCTCAACCCGCCCAAACCGAGTCGTTTCAATGTCGGCCCCGGATTGCCAGTCCTCGAGTCGACTTCCACAGCGGCTCTCCGCCGCAAAGCCAATTCCCTCCCGCTCCGCACTGGTGCTATCGGTATCAAGAAGGGTATGACTGCTATCTACGATCCGGAGTCTGGAAAGCGCATCCCCTGCACTGTCCTCCAGCTGGATCGTGTTGAGGTGATCTCCCACAAGACCCGTGAGAGACACGGTTACTATGCTGTGCAGGTTGGTGCTGGCTGGAAACACCCGAGTAATGTGACCAAGTCGTTGCTTGGACATTTCTCGGCTAATGGGCTCTCGCCTAAGCGCCATGTCTTCGAGTTCCGTGTGAAGGACGAGGCGGGCCTTATCCCTGTTGGTCAGAGTATTGAGGCGGGTTGGTTCCAGGAGGGCCAGTTTGTTGATGCTCGCTCCAATACTAAGGGTAAGGGCTTTGCTGGTGTCATGAAGAGACACGGTTTCCACGGTCAGGATCGCAGTCACGGTGTTAGTTTGACCCATCGTTCTTTGGGTTCTTCTGGTCCTGGTCAGGGTGGTGGTTCTCGTGTTTACCCCGGAAAGAAGATGGCCGGAAACATGGGAAATAACCAGAATACTGTTCAGAACTTGAAGATTCTCAAGGTGGATTCTGAGAATGGTATTGTGGTTGTCAGCGGTATGTGATTTGATCTCGAGTTCCTCCAAGCCTTTTCTGGGTCCTCTTGCTAATACATCTTCTTTACTTCAGGTGCCGTCAGCGGTCCCAAGGGCTGTGTTGTGAGAATCCAGGATGCGATCAAGAAGCCATGGCCCGAAGTGCCACAGGCAGAGTCAGCCGCCACGGAAGCTGCTACTGCTTAATTGGAGATTTCTTTTTCTTAGTTCTGACCATGTACTATTACACCATACGCGCGATATTGTTTGACTTGAGCGGCGTTTGTATATGATACAAAAAATGATATCCTTCTTCCTTTTTTCTCTTAAGCCTTGAGGAAAAGAAAAAAACAATGGCTTCGCCAAGTTGATAACGCAACAAAATGGTCCCATAAAGAATGTCCCCAAACGCCCGAGCCAATGCACTGCTGTATCTGTACACTCTCTCCTTCAATATTCAGTTCTTCCGGAAAGGATCGGTACCCTTGTCGAGCAATTGAACCACCGTTCCATCCTCGGTCTCGAGACTCCATTCCTCAGTACGGAACTAGAAAGAAAAAGAAGTCAGCAACTAGTACAGAACACAGAACACGTCATAAACCAAATAGTCCAAAAACTCACATAGCTCATACGATCCGGCCGAATGCTGTGGAACCTCATCTTGCCCTGGGCCTTCGTCCCCTTAACCCAGAACGAGATATTAATGCGACCATGCAATTGGTTCATCTCTCCACTGATCCAAGGAATCTGCTGCGCGAAGTAGATCTCATCACCTAGGATCTCACGAGCCCGCGGCGACGTCCGCAGCGCATACAGCGTACTGCTCACGATACTCGACGACGACTTCTGGTAATTGAAGATTCCAAGCATGCCCGCTCCCGTCGCGATAATGAAGATCGGAAGCGTGAGAAGCCATTTGCGGGTTGGGTTCGGGTTCGGTAGCTCGCGGTCCGCACGTCGTTCCATTAGTGGTCCTGCGTTCGGACCCGGGGCAGCTATCATTGTGCGCCGGCTGGCAATGTTGGGCCGGGCAGATTGCCGGGCGAGCGCGATGCGCCGCGTGAAGACTCGGGAGAAAACCATTGCTGTGTTTGTCGGGTGTTTATTTGGTGTTTTTGTCGGGCTGGTAGTTGGATTGGGGGGGAGAGGTTGCGGAAGAAAAGAGTGTTCAAACAAGACAAACAATCCCGAACCTTTCGACGTCACTGCACCGCCAACGGCTGAGTGTACAACGCTTTTATTTTCGTTCTCGGATTTCGAGAAATGGCTGCGGTCAGATTGCGTAAGGCGTTTCGATACCCTGAGGAATCGGATGGCGAGCGAGAGGAGTTGGATGAAGAGCAACAAGAACGAGTTATCGAGCAGTTGCAAAGGCAGAATGATGCTCGCAACGCCCAGTACAGTGTACATATACCTCTTTTCTTTTCTTTTCTTTTCTTTTTCCATCGAAGATCAATGCTAAACATGTTCCCAGATGATTTTTACTGCACTTCCACTGCTGGCTGCTACAGTATTTGTGTCTTCGGTGCTGTCAGCTTCCAGTCAGGCTGAACGGTTGTTCTCGTTCCTCGGCCTCGTTTCGTTGTTGACAACGGCCTATATCATGAAATGCTCTCCTCTGCAGCCTGATCGCAAAGGCAAGAAGCCTGTGACTTTCCACACCGAACGTATTGCTCGAATTCATGCGGCTCTGGTGCCTGGCAACAGTACGATTTGCTTGTTGCTGGCTGTGGTTTATTTTACTACAGGATCATCTTATGGGATCCAACCGGTGCTATACTTGATTCCTGGAGGTAAGTCTCTTCTTTTTTATGTTGGGAGATATTGAGTCTGACTATGTATAGTCATGCTAGCAGTGATTCTACTTGCTCAAAAGGTCATGCTCTCTGTTGACCTTGCTTCCCTCAAGGATCTACAGTACGAGTACAAAGGTGCCTAGCCAGTAGTTAGTAATTAACGAATTCAACTTGATTTCAACTTGAATACATATGGTCATTATTAAAGTACAGCCAGATTTTGTTAAACCATGGTGTCGCAGAAGAGATAAACCCTTCGGGGAATCACAAATCATACATCATTTCGCAAAATAGTCAGTGTTCATCGTAGTCTGTGGAATACAAGTATCCCACGAGAAACTTTCAATCCTTTGTGTCTGCTTGCACAAAATTGCACAAGTGATCGTTGTCATGTGCTCGAATCCAGCAAAGATCACGAGCTGATTTAAGTGCTTGCCTGGGCGATCAATGACGGGTCAACGGGAATGCCGCCATCGTCCTCATCAAAGCCCAGTGAGATGTCATCGCTCTCGTTGCCGTTTTGTGCCGGCTGGTCGAACGGACTTGACTCGAAGCTGAAGCCCTGGTCTTCTAGGGTCTTCTGTCGTTCCATTTCAGCTTCCTCAGCTTCCTTCTGACGTTTTTGAATGCGCCCGTGGACATCATCGCCAAATTTCTTCAACCACCACAGATTCGATTTCCGGAAATCCACTAAGGTCTCGATGCTGCGGGGGTCGGCGACCTTACTGGTGTCATGGCCCAGAACGGTACAGTTAGGTTCATAGGGTCTCATGGATGGGTCACGCTGGCAAGCACCGCAGCTGCATTCCTTGCGGCATTTTGGACACAGCCAGTGGTATTTTTCCATGGCCTCCTGGGGGAGATCTCAAATGCGCGGAACAAACTGCCATAACAGTAACGCTGGTCACAGTTTGAGCAAGGTGCGAGCTTCCAGTTGACTTCGAAATGAAGGCAAACGTGACAGCGGTGGACATCATCTGATTTTGCCATGAGAGACTGCCGCAGTTTGCGGCGCTTTTTAGATCGAGCGTTGCCTTCGGATTCGCTACCAGTATCTTCGATCGTGTTGTCTACCATGGGCTTGGGCTTGGGCTTCTTGGGATCATTCCAGGGGCGGCGCATCAGTTGCTCCTGGCAAATCTCCGCCACAGACTTTTTCCCTGCCTGGCCCCGGGCGACAATGAAAGTGGGAAACTGAACCTTCAAAGTCTTGTTGTTCTCGTCAGAGGAAATTATCAGCCGTCGCCATGTCTCATAGCGCTCAGTCAAGTGCTTCCATTGAAATTGTTCCATCCATTTGAGGTTGGAAACACATGCACAGCTTCTACCCATGACGTAGCAATCCATGCATACATCATAAGGGTCCTCCTCGCCGCCAAGAGAATTTGCACAGCCAGGACAGGTAAGAAACCGGTTGAAGATGTTGCACCGGCAAAATGAGCAGGTGACATTGCTCTCGAATTCGTGATACTCGACGTTCTTCTCTGGCTTCTTTTGTGAGAAGGATTCAGACAACAAAATGTTCCTGTACATATCGAACAGCCGCTTGAAGTCGTCCCACAGTTGAACCACCGCTGGGTGGTCAACATTTTTTGCTTCCCGCAACAATTTGTAATACCGCTCAAGAGTATAGTAAACAATTGCTTTGTTCTTGTACTGTTCATCACGGCAGACCATTCGCGCATGCGGCAAAGCTTCACGCAGAGCCAGCTCGAGCGTGTCCACAGTAGTGCGATTCCAGGCAACTTTCATCGTCCGAGTGCCGCGGTTCCAAACCTGGTGAGCAGCAAGAGGGGGTACAAGAATAAGGTCACCGGGCTTTTGCTCCACCACCCAGGTCTTGAATGGTGCAATCTCCCATGCATGCAAGGGAGCAAAGAAATCTTCAATGTCAATGTCATGCCCAAGAACAGACATCCAGTATTCGGAAACGATACGTCGGTCGTTGGTCTCTGTCATTAGCCAGATAGAAGAACCTGGTTCTGTTGGCTTGCCGTTCTCTGGAGACCCATCGGATGCGTCGACCATTATGTTATGACCAAGACTGGCACACATCTCTTGGTGTGCGGGAGTGTATGTACCCTCATGGCCGATGTAGCACATAAGGTTTTCCGCACGCATATTTGGGGGCAGGCTACTCATCAAATCGCCTGCTGGAGCGATGAGGTCGCCTTGGGTGGACCTGGGGATTTCGGACAGGTTCATCTTTCCCGACGCGGGGCCCTCAAAGGCTTTGGGTGCTTCGTTCAGGTAAAATAACGAGGGTGGTAACAGGTTCTCAAGATACGCGCGCCACTCGGGAGGACAGTCGATGTCCTTCATGTACAGTCGTTGTATGTCTTTGTTCGTATAGTTGTGTACTGTCACCTGTCGAGTGAGCAGGGGCAGACTCTGCAAATAGTGCCCCATACTAAAATTCTGTGATCTTTTCTTGACTAGATCCCAAATTCCTTCGACTGTCAAGAGACGTTGCAGTTAGTATCAACCAACGAAGGATGATCAAGAGCGTGAACTCACCTTTCTTCGCGTAATTTTCTCGCAGCCATTTTTCCGAGAAAAGGCCCTTGTCAAGACGCTGATGAAATCCTCTGATGACCAATGGTCTTCCGCTCAGGACAACCTGGAACAAGACAAGTCTTTCGAAGTCCTCCAGAGGAAATTCCTCAATTGAGTCGTAAGTGATATTCATCGCAAACTCAAAATTAGGAGTTGATTCGACAACTCGATGAATATCGAGGACAGGCGAAAGTGGTTCGAAAGCCAGGCGTGTACGATGTGCTGGCATCGTGAGCGCAGAGCCCCAGAGGGGCAAGATGTGTCGACCTTTAGTTGATGTTCGTAATCGGCGCAATGCTCGCAGAAGCGAAATTCATGATTTGAGGGAGAAATTTGGTGGTTTGGGATCAAGGTTTAGATTGTGTAAGATTTAGAATTGTGAGCTAGCTGGGTGGATTGGGTGGTTCTTCGCTGTTTCTGTTGTTTCTGTTATGCGGGCGTGATGATGCTTGGGGCGAGATAACTGAGTGAATTGAGAAGGAGCGAGGGAGGTGGGTACACAATAGATAGTAGATAGTAGATAGAACAGTAGAGTAGAAGAATTCAATTTAAGCTTAGGAGTCGAGATGTGTAAAATCTGATCGAGTGACGTGAAAGAAAGTGATGTCGCAGCTCGTTCCCTTCAATTCGGGCGATCATCAATTTCTGGGGGAACGCGGGATGCCGCGTTTTACAGCCTCAGGCAGAAATTTACACGTGAATTTTTGAAGTGTTGCAGTTATCGCATTGTTTTTACCTACATATGGCAATAAGGGGTACTTGGAGTTAATATAGCATAGCTTCTTTCTTCTGCTTCAAGGCAATTGAATAGTATTCAGCCCAATGTATACTTAATTTTAGCATATTGTGATAGCGCGGCTCCATACAAAGTAGATCTGATGGCCCAAATAGGCTTAGGGGGAGGAACGAAGCCGCTTTTTCCTGCATGACGATGTAATTTCCGACTTAGATCTTCAGACAGCCAGACCTTCGAGGCTTCTGAGAGGAATATGAATATTGCCAGTTGGCTTAATTGACACCCTCATGTTCAGTTTCTAGATTCCCAGCTCTCGCCATGCTTTCCACCGGCTCCCGTCTCTTCCGCGGTCGACTATCCCCATACAGGCAAAAGGTCAACCTCACTGGTTTATACAATGGGCGCCTTTCCACACTCGCTCATAATGCCTATTCCTCAACGCAATTGAAAGGCAATCGATTCCTCGCTGGTGCCTCATCCAATGCCTTGCGAACACAAGTCCAAGTCCGATACAACTCGCAGTTGCAATCGCCCGCAACACAACCAATCGAGACGGATAGTGCGGGAAAGAACCCAGCCACCCACTACATCCCACCGAAGACAGGCTTGATTGCGTCTCTGCCGAGTTCATGGATACCGTATGCGGAATTGGTGCGGCTGGACAAGCCCACGGGCACATACTACTTGTTCTTCCCAACTCTCTTTTCCACGCTGCTCGCTGCGCCAATGGCTGGTGTGGCACCTCTCCCCGTCTTGGGCACCGCAGCGCTATTCTTTTCCGGTGCGCTGATCATGCGCGGTGCAGGCTGCGCAATCAACGACCTGTGGGACCGAAACTTGGACCCTCATGTGGAACGCACCAAATTCCGACCCATTGCCAGAGGTGCACTCTCGCCAAAAAAGGCAGTTCTCTTTACCGGTTCACAGTTGGTGGCTGGCCTGGGCGTGCTTCTCTCGTTCCCTAGTCAGTGCCTTTGGTATGGCATTCCTAGTATGCCTATCGTGGTGGCCTATCCCCTTGCTAAGCGCGTGACCAATTACCCGCAAGCTGTCTTGGGTCTTGCCTTTTCATGGGGCGCGATCATGGGATTCCCAGCATTGGGGGTGGACCTGCTTGCCAATCATGATGCCGTGATGGCCGCAGGTGCCCTTTATTCCAGTTGTATTGCTTGGACAGTTCTGTACGATATGATTTATGCACACATGGACATTAAGGACGATGTCAAGGCCGGGATCAAGTCAATTGCTCTCCGCCATGAGCACAACACTAAGGCTATCTTGAGTGGTCTAGCGGTGACTCAAGTCTCGCTCCTCGCGGCTGCAGGAGTCGCGGCTGGTTGCGGACCTGTTTTCTTCGTCGGAAGCTGCGGCAGTGCGGCTTTGTCGCTCGGTCTCATGATTTGGAAGGTTCAGTTGAAGAGTGTTCCGAACTGCTGGTGGTGGTTCAAGAACGGATGTCTGCTGACCGGTGGAGGGATTTCCTTGGGCTTGCTCGCCGAGTATGCGACGCAGTACCTTGGTCTGTACAATACGACGGAGCCAGAGCGATTGGTAGCCGAGTCAACAATATAACCATGTAACAATATAAATAGGCGTCCAAGGCTTGGTTCCTTTTTTTCACGGCTTCTCCACCGACCCCGCCACGTAGTCTTGGATGGCAGTGACGATATCTCTCCAGTCCATCATACTTCCGGTGTCGACATCTCCACCGGACAGGCTCTTTTCCATGGGAGGCAGCACAGTCACCCAGCCCTCTGGGTTTGATTCACTCCATCCCCACTGATCACATAGAATTTTAAGATGCTTCTTGGTCACTGGATGTCGGTACGCACATGCGTCCATGTCCAACGCTGCAAAGATCATAGTTTTCTGAGGCTTGAATCCCATATCTACTACCCCAGTCGTATCCCAGGCTCTGATGACGGAGAGAAGCAGGTTGTCGGCGATCCCATTGGCCATTTTCGCCATGGTATTTGCAGACATTGGGGCAACCAGTAGAATATGCGCCCCTATGATGATGTCAGTTGGTCCTTTGTGTCAAGTGCCATATATCTATATAACCACTGACATTTGCGCAACTCAATATGCAAGACTGGTCCTCCGCGCGTCCACGATGGACACCATTCATCTTTGTCCCGGTAGATAGCGTCGACACCATCTATTTGCAACAGATTTTCGAAGACCGGTTGCTCTGAACTTTGTCCAGCAAGGAACTTTTCCACTGGCTCGGTGACTAGAATGCGAACTGAGATGTTTTTATTACGACATAGCGCCTCTGCAATGTTGGGCAGCTTAATGGTAGCGGCTGCTAGTAACACATGGATCTTCTTGTCATTTGTATACTGCTGGGCAATAAAAGGCGTAGGTGAGATTTGAGGATCCATTGTTATATCTTTATTGTAACAAAAAGACAGAAAATGGGTAGACAAAAAGACAAGAAGTGAAGATGACTGGTTCATAGAGCCCTAGAGAGCTTTAGATGTGTGGGGATCAACCAGACCCGCGGACCAACCGCTGATTAAATAATACTAAACCTCCAGACCTTTCCCCGAAGTCAACCTCTTCCTCTGTAAACTACCCATCATTTTCAAAATGTTTTCCAGAGCAGTTGCATCGGTACGTATAAAATGTTCCCTATTACACAAGATCCTCCAGCTCATATGAATTCCGCAGGCTTTCCGCCCGGTCTCACGGCCAACCTTTTTGCGCCCCGTCCGCTCGGCCATCCAGTTCCCCTCGGGCCCTTCTATCCCCTCCGTCCTCCATGCACGCCTTCTGTCCAACGAGACCCGGACGGCGATCGATAAGGCGGTCTCTTCCGCCCCCGTTGTTCTGTTCATGAAGGGTACACCCGAGACTCCCCAATGCGGTTTCTCACGTGCCACTATTCAGATCCTCGGCCTGCAGGGTGTTGATCCCAAGAAGTTTGTCGCTTTCAACGTGCTGGAGGATGCGGAGCTGCGCTCAGGTATGTTGGGACTATCTCGAGTGAACTTCTCCCGGATTTGGATTGCTAATCATGCTGCGTTTACAGGAGTCAAGGAATACTCTGAGTGGCCCACTATTCCCCAACTATACCTGGAGAAGGAGTTCATTGGTGGTTGTGATATCCTGATGTCCATGCACCAAAATGGTGAACTTGCCAAACTTCTGGAGTCCAAGGGTGTCCTGGTTGCCGCGGATGAATAAATAGAAGCTGAGCACGAGTGGAAGATGTCAGCCTATCAATTTGATAGATGGCTGTCTCTGTAAAATTATTTGTCTCTAATGTATTCTGGTCCTAATATCCTGCTGGTCAGATAGTTGTCTTGTTGATTTGACAAATGGAAGGTAATCTCCAATCTATCTGCTCCAGTAGACCAAATTGTCACAAGCCGCCATGCAAACGAACGAGGCAAACCCTTGTATAAGAAGGAACCCCAGTTGATGAGGTCTAATATCATATGTACATTTGATCTTCATTACATGATTAGTATTTCCCACAAAGAGCGATAGCCAGCCTACTGGGCTGAATTAGCTGCTTCGGCTGCCTCTTGCGCTTTCACCAGATCCTCGGCAATGGCCTTGTCTAGCTTTGCACGTTGCCTGGCTTCATAAGCTTCACGGCTCTTCAGGATCCGACCAACAATCTCGCCAGCGTTCACATGTTGGAAGGCATGCTGCTCGGCTTCGCGGAAGATTCCCATCTTCTTGGGAGCAGTGTATGGGTCGTATGTTAGCGGGATAAAGGTCGTGGGTCCGTGGTAGACAGCATCGGGAGTGCCCCATGGGATTGCCTTGAGGTATGGTTCGCTAGGGGTGAATGGCGCAGAGAATATGACAGCATTGATGTACTTTGGTGAAGGTCAGCAAATGGAACAGATGAAAGCAAACCAAGAAAAACTTACGCGGCATTGAAGAACACACAGACCACGCTCGAAAATGTTCATGATTGGGTAGTTCAAGCCTTTCCAGTGGTTAATCACATCGTCATCATGGATACCTGCGACAATATAGGCTGGCGCATAGTCCTCGCCGTGGTCCTTCAACCTCTTTGCAACTTGGTCTTGCTCATACCAGCCACGTTGCCGGCCCTCGGACTCCTCGAGCTCTGTGACTTTGCGCAGGAACGCAATGTGACCGGAAGAAAACAGGTCGAACCCTCCGTCCACATAAACAACCCTCTGTCCAGGTTTAGGTCCCTTTCCATCGACCAACGTCTCGAACAGGCCAGCCTCCTCGGCAGCGTGGTCCATCTTCGCGATGCCTGAGCCAGTCCATGTCCACACCTGAGGGCCAGGCTGAAGACCGCTCTCATCTGTCGCATAGTCCTTGATTCTCTGCAAAAGATCTGTAGCAGAAGCCTTACGCTCCTCAGGGCTTCCATACCCTTCCAGTCCAGCGAGTGTACCCTTCACAGATTTGACGAAGTGGTTCCTGGTGCACAGCAGCATGCGGCCAACAAGATCGGTTGTCGAGATGCCTGGGGTACGTTTGACAACACGGAAGCGTCCAGCGGCTTTGACGAAGCGGTAACAGTCGTTTCCATCACTGTCGGAGGTAATGTCGTCTCCATGAACAACGTATTTGCATCCGTAGTGGGAGACCCAGGGTAGGTAAGTCACATAGGGGGCATGTGGAACACTTTGAGTTGCCCAACGACACGCGTCGACGGCTGCGACACTAAATAAAAGCGACATTAGTGTCAGATCCTAGCGGCTACACCAGTTTGTGGTCAAACCAACCGTTCTTCCAGTGACATCACTGTCGGACCCTTGTTCTCGAGGATAGCTTGATCTGAGTGTATTCCCACGTAAAGGGCCTTTCCTAGCTGGCGCGCTTGGAGCATAGCACCTGCATGACCTGTAGAGTGACACATAGATTAGCTCAGAGCAATTGACTGGGTGTTAACTGTAAACCTACCGTGGTGGCTGAAGTCGAAGCATCCATCGACCCAAAGTCTGTCCTCTGAAATAGGTACGTCCTCCTGGGGATCAACAGGCCACTGTCCAGGCAAAGGAACCTGTTCTTCGAGTGGTGTTGAGTCCATTTTCACAATAGTACTCCGTAATAAATTCAGAATTGCTCCAAAGTATAGAGAGGAATTGTATAGGAGGGGGAGGGGATGTGATCGACGGTAAATTACAAAGGGGGTACGGTTACAGTAATCTCCGCCATCAGTCTGGCTTGCGGGGAACTTCAATTGTTTCTTCAGACCTCCTGAGTCTCAATGACCTTTGAAAACACCCCGTGAATACATTGGGGTCTTACATATTGGTCTATCAGCCTGGTAAATCGGGCTTCCTGCTCTCTCGCCTTCCCTGATACCTCCGCCGTGTCCTGCGACCCCTGTCCACCTTCGTTCCTTCGCTCCGATATTGCCCACCAACGCCAATGATTCCCTCTACATTTGCCCCGGGCATCACGCGGCGGGACACAGCCAAGTCCGGTGGTGGATATGAAGGGGCATATGGGATCCCACCTCCAGTTACCAGCGGAGGGGGCCTTCTTGGCCCTCAAAGTGCCGGCGCAATATATCAGCACATCCATGAAATGGCCGCGAAACGGATATCGACTCTGGACTATTTAAGAAAGGCGTAAGTGGATCGCACAGTGCAATCAGACGCGAACACTACTAATTAATACCATACTACGTATAGTCATGAAGGACGAGTCTATTGGTTTAATACTGTGCACTTCTCCCGGGCTGATATCGCTCGGTTGCCATACTTTGAAGCCCGGAAACTTTCTCGCCGCGCAATCAATTATTTGCTTCTAGGCTTGTCATTGCCAACAATACTTGACGTTAATTCCACGCCATTTGAGTATGTGCGTGCCCTGAATGCTTTGCTACTGGAATTCGAAACATTCCAGTCAGTGCATCCCCCAGATGGCAGCTCCTCGTCAAGTCTTGCAAGGGCTCGCATACCACAAATGTTTAAGCGGGCGACGCATGCAGGTACCAAGACCCGACGCGCCAGCTCTGCGAACGAGATCGGACTTCCAATGCAGTCCAGTGACCCATCAGACTTGAAGAACATGGCAGGGAATCTCGGGTCGGCTTCCTCTGCCTCGGTCACCTCCTTCCCGCTCACAGAGTCTGCGGATCTTCATCCTGGCGAAGAATACACTTATCTTCTCACACCATCGTTGCCATTCGAGCCGGACTTCTTTGAGACATTTGCGACCCTGTGTGATGTCTTGATTGACACTTATAGCAGGCTCGCCGCTCTAGTATCATCTCCAGCTGTCTGCACAGTAGCGTTGGGCGAGACATTTTCCAAAGCAGATGCCAGGCTACGCAAGATCATGGTGGCCGGCGCAGTGCGTGAGTTCGAAGATGCGAGCCGAAATAGTGTCAAGAGTGAAGTTGCTGGGGTCAGTCGGGTGGTGCTTGGCGGTTTATTGGGATAGCAGCAAGGTTTAGCTGCTATATATTTGGGTATGGTATTCATGCGTCAGTTTTTGACAGGACATATGGTTGGGTTTTTATGAGATATGAGTTTATCGAGCTGAATGTTGTACGATAATAGAATTTCAGGTCTAAATTTGAAAGCTTCTAATGATACATCTGTGCCGCCTTCTTGATCGGGGCTACTCAGTACAAAAAGCAGGATATAAAAGGCAACTCGCTCAAAATAACATAATCCAGAACTTTTCTTAGCCGTGCGGCTTCGTGAGGCGAGAGGTGGTATTCATGAGAAGATTGAAAGAGTCGAGAATCGAAAAAAGACAGGTGAAGACAGAGAACTCCGCTTGGCGCCACATGCTCGAATATATATAACAGACGCCGGGATATGCAGTCGCTTGATGTTGAATGCTGAGTGGGGATAGGAATATGATGTTGGGAAGAGGTCACGGAAATTATGCTGAGAGCATGGGGCGCTCATGACTGAAGGCTTTGCTTTTCGAGTTCGCGTTGTTCGCCGAAGACGCGGCGGCTCATCTCGAGGACGGTTTCGAATCCTTCGCGGCCAATCTTGGCATTTTCACGGAACCGATCCACGCTTGCCTCTTCGACCTTGTTCTTGATCTTTTGCCATCCACCGCAGAGAGCAGTGATTTTTGCTTCTTGGCTAAATTCGGTTGTGGTGGCTGGGCTAAGGGAGGATTGGCGGTAGATAACAGTCTCACGGACGCTGAGGACGTTCGACCATGTCAGATTGGTAGAGCACATGGTCACCTTCTTTGCGACTGGATCAACATAAGAGACTTCGTAGACGTGAGATGTATTCGTTCCACCGAGAATCGAGAGCACCCATTTTGGTACAGATTGATCGCACGTGATAAGGCGCTCGGTTCGCAACTAAGAGGCAAAGGTTAGTACAAAGGTTTCAGGATATTTTGAGAGTTCTGCTTTGAGGTTGAATGACTCACAATGCCAGTGCTCGGGTCGACGGTCCGAGAGAGCGTGTCTACACCCACGACGTGTGTAGACTTATCATTCCAAGGACAGTATTTGCGCCAGTTCGCCGTTGATACTTCGTCCCACGAGTAGTCGAACGTGCATTCGGAAGAAAAGACCTTCATAGTGGCAAGTCGCGGTTCACCTCAACGATGCCGTTGGGTCGTGTGGTCTTGTGATAGGGTATTTGGATGAAGAACAGGATTGACAAGCGCGCTGTGACGGATAGGATGGGAGAGAATTGGTAGTATTGATGAAGCCGAGGTAGAGAGAGGTAAGACTAATTCAAGTCGAAAGTGAGAGATGGGAGGTGAAGAAGTTGCAGAAGGTGATTTAAGTCTAAGTCTAGAAGGAATCGGGAGGCAAATATGAGCAAGTCAGATAGAAGAAAATGGAGAAGAGTGGATTTTAACGATCTACCGTCTGAGGGGAAAATCCTTTTTATTTTTTTCCCTTCGGGTCAGGGCCAGGGCGCGTTCGGAACGCCACAGCACATGAACGCCACAGCTCCACCGGGTTTTCCCGGTGAGGTGCCCATGTGCTTATATAATCAACGGCGCAGCTGCACCGGGCACATATGCAGCTGATATGTTCCAGAGCGTCCAATTAAACTCTACTCAATACATATACCTCTCCCAGTCTTTTTTAATTTCTCCCTTTCCCCACATCATGGTCGAACTCAGGAAACGCAAGGCGCCAGCCCCGCTCCCCGTCGCAGAGAAGAAGACCAAACCAGCTCCCAAGCCCAAACAAGAGACAGCTGCTACCGATAATGATATTGAAAAAAGCCCCGCGCTAAAGGTCCCTGAGGTGGATGATACAATCGACATAGAAGCTTTCGGGGGCGAGTTTGAGACCAACGAGGGTGAAAAAACAACTTTGAAGAAGCTCCTCGAGGAGAGCAAGTCGGGCGTGGTTTTCTTTACCTACCCCAAAGCCTCAACACCTGGCTGTAAGTCCCCGTGTCATGCTCAGTGCTTCTCTTGAGAGGACCGGGCTGTGTTCTTGGCATAATTTGCAAGCATCCTACTCCCAGCAGATTACTTACGCCGCTTCATCCAGGTACCAAGCAAGCTTGCTTGTTCCGTGACAACCACACCCACCTGACTTCTACTGGTCTTTCTATCTACGGCCTTTCAGGAGATTCTCCCAAGGCCAACACTACGTTCAAGACAAGACAAAACCTACCCTACCCTCTCATGTGTGACCCCAAGGCTACCCTTATTGGAGCTATTGGGTTCAAGAAATCTCCCAAGGGTACAACGCGAGGTGTATTTGCCGTGGATAAGAAGGGTAAGGTCTTGCTTCGCGAGGCCGGTGGCCCAGACGCGACTGTGGATGCTGTCCAGAGGATTGTTGCCAATGCGCCTAGTGTTGGAGACACCAAGGAGGAAGGTGATGAAGCGTGATGAAGCAGGGTGATCTAACTCGAGTGGTGGTGTGCAGACACTTTCACAACACGCGACACTAAGATACCAGATATTACATGCATAGCACCACCTAGTGTGGTTTATTTGTTTCGGTGTACGTGCTCGGCGTAGATTATTAGGGGTATGATGAGCCAGGGACTATCAAGTTGTTTTGAATGCTGTGGATTCCAATATATACAGCTTAAAACACTGGTACAGCATACTTGATTCCTTGCAAATCCCCCAGCTTCCTCCTATCCATTGACCATCATACCTCCGTTGGGATGCAAACACTGTCCGGAAATATAGCTGCTGTCCTGGCTTGCGAGGAAAACGAAACATGTTGCGACCTCGCTAGGCTGTCCGGGTCGACCAATCGGCACTGTATGGAACTGTTCCATGGCCTCGGTTTGCATTGTTGCAGGAATCAGGGGTGTCCAGACTTGTCTTATTAGCATTTGACTTGGAATAGGGATATGGAGGACCTACTTGGACCCGGACAAACACAATTGACCCGAATGCCCTTCTTCAACTGCTGGTTTGACAAGCCACGAGTAAATGCGACAATTGCTCCTTTAGTCGAGGTGTAATCCAGGAGATCGCCTCGGCCAATATACGGATTGACGGAGGCGCAATTGATGATAGTAGATCCCTTCTGCATATGAGGAAGAGCATACTTGGAGAGATAAAAGAATGAATGAATGTTGGTGTCAAATGTCTTCTCCCACTGGGATCTTTTGTTGCGTTAGTATATGCATTGGCCGAAGAGCAATGATAATGTAGGGCAACTCACTCCTCGAGCTCGCTGATATCGCTTAGCATGTCTTGGAACGCCGCGTTGTTCACGAGAATGTCAATGCGACCTAGCTTTTCCAAGGTCACATTGATGATCTTTTGACAATTCTCCTTCTTGCGAATATCGAGAGCGAGAGTATGGCACTGCTGTCCATATTGTTCGACCCTCTTTTTTGTCTCCTGGGCATCCGACTCCTCTTCTGGCAAGTAAACTATGACACTTGAGGCACCCTCCATTGCAAACAGGATTGCAACCGCCCGGCCAATTCCTGAATCACCACCGGTGATGATTGCTCTCTTCCCTTCGAGCTTGCCAGCAGCTTTGTAGATCTGATAACCGTAATCCTCGGTAGGAATATGAGTAGACACAGGTTTGGGCTCTCCCATGTCAGACTGCAGACCCGGCTTTTTCAAGTGTTGAATAGGAATCTTGTGGCCTATATCATGGAGTGTTTTGTTAGAAATCAACTCTTAGACAAACAACACTTACTCACCTGGCGCAAATTGGGATTTAGACCCACTGGCCTCTCGCTCGATATACTGGGTAACCGGCATATTGGCAGGCTAGGGCGTGAATACGACCAAGTGTGGTGGATATAGACGACTTGTGTAAATTTGTAGATATGATACAAATGTCCATGCAGGAAACCACCATTTAAGTAAGACAAATGATGTATGGCCACCAAAAACCGAAGCAAAGCCATCAATGTCACTATGATGGTCTGCTTACATTCTACATCTTCTACCATTTCTCTGTATTGAGGCAATATACAATATACAAGTTATGAGCCACCCGGATCATCTTTGATCTAGACTTTTTCTGTGGCGGTGGTTTAATCGAACACGTTGGACGATTCGATCTTTCAGTGTTGTACCCACAAGTTGCCCATTCTAGGAACGACTTTTATATCCAATCGGACGAGATTTTTCATGACTGGATGACACGTCTCCCGTTTTGATATCCATATCTGAACTGCCTCTGTGCCACGTTTGCCGTCGAGGTTATCAACATGGGCATGACAGAGGTTTGGCGTCATGAGGTTGTGGCGTTCTTCACCCAGTGAGCTCCAAGATACAACAATCCAAACTGCTTTTATCATGCGAAATGTATGTAGGAATAACATGACAAGAATAGTCGGCCGCTCATGCGGACTTGTCATGTCTTTTTAGATGTTCTTTCGGATGTTCTTTTAGTTGACTAAGTACTATAGAAGATATATTCTTGAATCCGGTATATTCGAGTTGTTTACAATGGCTTTAGCTCAAAAATTGCAATGTTTTTGTTATTTCCATAAAATGTGAAGGGTTTCCATAAAAAGGAAACCATAGTAAATCAGTGTAGAGAGTATTAGTAGGTGTTCTAGTTGGATGATGTTGGAACAGTCGACCTCTCGATATACCGGGGATCCTTATCTTATCAACTAGCAATGTGATTGGCTGTCGACCGTCCGCCCGGCGATAATTTTTTCTATTGCGCTTTCCGCTTCTCGAGACTCTTGGTATTCCAACAAATTGCCTGGCTCTTTTCACAATGGCGAAAGGGCAGTCCAAATCTAAGTCCGTATCGGACAATACTGCCAAACTTTCCGAGCAGATGGCTCTTTCATCCGCTCTGTCCTCACCATGGGCGTTCCTCCGTCCCACGAACGATTTACATACGACCGTCGTGGATTCTGCTAAGCACATCCTGGACTCCCTCGCCGGTTCTGTCGTGGATGCCCAGACCACTCGTAAGCAGCTCAACAAAAAGCGCAAACGCTCAGACCTCGAATCGGACCCAGTCACCCAGCTCCAATTGAAGAATCTCTACGTGGACGGTTTCACCTCGAATCAAATATGGGAGCAAGCAACACGGATTCTCGAGTCGACTGGCGACGAGATTGAACGCGATATCACATTGATTTCCCAACACGGCGGCTACATGGAGTCGGCCGACTCCGAGCAGCTCGAGGATATCTCTGACCCCGAGGGTGCGCAAAGCGACAGCGACAGCCACGAGAGCATGCTTGAAGATCTCTCCGAGGGCTCAGGCGCCGAAGACGATCTCGACGAAGAATCTGACCAAGAGATCGATATGGGATCTGACGATGAGATGGAAGACATTGAAGACATGGACGATGATAATTCCTCAGTTGGCTCCGCCGAAGGAGAGCCCGAAGTATTTGTCGAGGATAAATTTGGACTGAATGACGGATTCTTCTCCATCGACGACTTCAACAAGCAGTCTGAGGCTTTAGAGAGACAGGATGCCGCAGGAGGACCCGAGCAGAATGAGGACAGCGATGAGGAGGATCTCGACTGGCATTCCAACCCGTTGATTGCTGGAAACTCTGCGACCATTCGTGGTGATAAATCGAAGAATTCACGCCCAACAGAAAAGGAAGACGAGAGCATGGATGATAGTGAGGAGGAGGGGCCGACTTTCGGTAATGCCGATCTCCACGGCGACTCCGATTCCGATGATGAAGACGTCGCAGACATGGAAGACGATGAAGCCAATGCCTGGGTAAACACTAGTGATATCAAATACGCCGATTTCTTTGCACCTCCACCCCGCAAAGCCTCCAACAAGAAACACCGCGCCCTCCCGAAAACCCAACCCGATGAACCGACAGTCGATGAGAGTGATGTCAAACGCGCTATGGACGATGTTCGACGGGACTTGTTTGACGATGCCGATGCGGACTCCGCCGAAGAAGATGAGGAGAATCTTGACGGATCTGCAGACCCCACTGCTCCACGCTCAACACACGAGAAGCAGAGGGCACGGATCGCAGATGAAATTCGTCGTCTGGAGGCGGCCAACGTGGCCAAGAAAGAATGGATGTACACTGGTGAGGCCAGAGCTGTCGAGCGCCCTATCAACTCTCTCATCGAAGAAGACCTCGACTTTGAACGAATTGGAAAGCCTGTTCCCGTCAACACCAATGAGACCACCGAGGACATCGAAGAACTAGTCAAGCGCCGAATTCTAGCCATGGAGTTCGACGAAGTCATCCGCCGTCGGCCAGGCGCCGAGGGTCAGCAGGCCGGAAGAAAACCCCGCTTCGAGCTGGATGATACCAAGCCCCAACAGGGTCTGGCCGAGATGTATGAAACTGACCATCTTCGCGCTAATGATCCCAACTTCGTGGATACTAAGGACCGCAAGTTGATGCGGGAACATGCCGAGATTACCAGTCTTTGGAACGAGCTCAGCTCTCAATTGGATACGCTATGCAACTGGCACTACAAGCCCAAGGTCGCCCAAGCAAGCATCAACGTCGTTACCGATGCGCCAACAATCATGATGGAAGAGGCACGTCCAACGGCTGGTGGTGCTGCCGGTGGCCCTGTTGGACTTGCACCACAGGAGATCTACACACCCGGTGACGAAGGCCGAGTTAAAGGAGAGGTGGTCCTCAAGACTGGCGCGTCTATCTCCAAGGAGGAGATGACCCGTGAGCAGAAGGCCAAGATCAGACGCCAGAATAAGCAAACCCAAAAGAAGGCCGATTCTGGCAAACCCACTCAGGAAAAGACCGGCAAGGCAGCTGAGAAGCAGCAGATGATTTCAGACCTGAAGAAGGGAGGAGTCAAGGTCATTGACAAGGAGGGCCGTATGACGAATATCGACGGCGGCTCTGTCCAACAGGGCGCCAAAAACAGAGGAGATAATCTCAAGTTGTGAGGGGGGGAGGTGAATTAAAGGGGCCAGTATGTACTATTCAGGAGTCATATTTCTTCTATATAAAATCTATTTTCTAGCATTGCACATATCATCATCTTGTGTCACTTTTCTGGTCAAGACGTTTGGCACGTATCGTGTAGAGGAATATGTTCTCTCTGTTATACGCATCAGCCCCAGGATCGTCACGGACTTGCTCCATTTCGAAGGCCTTTTTCGCCATCTTCATGAACCGCATATCGGCACGTCTGCGACGCTTATAACAAAAGTAACAGACCGAGTTGGGTCCCAGGAGGTCCTGGAGCGTGGTGATCAAGAGAGGGAATGCCGGCTCGAAATAGACGCAGTCTGCCGCGATGATGACATCTGGTTTCGAAGGAATCTGGTTTGGGATCGGTTCTCCCCAGTTTAGTATCGCAGCAGTCGCATTCGCATCGAGATTGTTCAGTTGGATGTTGGACTTCATTAGGGAAAACATAGGTTCTTGGTCTGTGATATAAATCGGCTGTTCGATGTGACACCCGCGTGCCACGGCGAGTCCAACAAGGCCACCTCCAGCTCCGAGTTCCACGCTATTGAAAGATTGGATTAGGACCGAACGAGAAGAAATGGATATGTGCACCCGGAGAGGGTAGTCACCCACATTGTTTTGTTGGATAGATCGGCGGCGTGACGACTGAGGAGGTATTTGGCCAAGGTCATTCCTGCTGGCCATAATTGGCCACCGCATCCATCTTTGAGATCTTCTTTTAGTAGCAATGGTTCTTTGAGGAGTCCGTCGAATGAGACTTCTGTGGTCACTGCGGCTTTGAGTTCGCGTGGAGGGGCCAGGGAGTCGTTGGGTCTGAGTGCATCTGGACTTGAGGGTGGGCTCAATTCTGGACCCGGGAGAGTTGGCATTGGTGTCTCTATCATCTTTTTTTGGGATATTTGTGAAATGGTTGATTGTTGATTGTGAAGCGGAGAAAGTTTTTAGTGGGGGATCTGTTTGTAGCTTATCGCAAATTAAACCTAGAAGGATCACATGATTGGTTGGGTGGCGATTTGGCTATTAATATGGATCAAATATAAGAGAAAATCAAAAAGAATGAAATTGAATGTTTTTTTTTTTTTAGTTTGTGCAAGTCAATATCTGAGGTCTATCATGTATGTGCATTGTATATGCACCGAATCTAGCCAAGACAAGCTTAGGCCCGTGCGAACGTAGATCTATGCCAATACTCGTGGTCTTATTGACATAGCAGGTCATCGAGGGTTGTTTAAGAAGTAAGTACTCATGGTGATATACTAGGTCTAAATATGGCTATATACAACAAAGGTACCATAAAGCTTGCGTGGGGACTTTTCATCGAATGGGACTTGGCAATCCATGTGGGTTCAGTTTTACCTAATTGATCAATAACCTTGAAATATGGATCTACGTCTACCTACCAGAGCACAGTACTGTCAAACAGGACTATCGAGAGTGTTACATTCCTGCTTTGAAGTTACAACAGCCGACTCTAGGCCCACACACAACTAGCACTACACGCCATGAGCAATAGGAAATAAATTTGGAATACATCGATTTCATAGTCGTGTACATTTACATCCATTAACTAGTTTAAGTTAAACCCAAGCTTGAGAAGCACATCTGATCACAACCGGCCAGAGGTTCTTGCTTGACCTGTCATCTCACACAATCCCGTATCCTTTAGTCGAATGGGTTAGTGCGTGTTCCCCACCAGGTGAGGAACAAGCTGAGTCCAACAGTCTCGAACACTCTCGAGACGGCGCCGACAGCGATAGTATCGAGGGGTCGCTTCTCGGAGAAGACTTGGCTAACAATCTGTATACATTTGTCAGAGGAATTGCTGAGGTTGTAAGGTAGGATTGATTGGGAACGTACGCCTGGAGCTGAGCTTGCGAAGAAAATAAGTGTACCTAGGTACGCAGCACCCTTGTAGCTCAGTGTGCCGGTGGCATTGATCAGTGCAGCGACACCGTAGGTCTGCACAGCACTTCCAACGAGGGAGCTTCCCCAGGCTGCGGCAGCGCCGGCAGCCTCCTTGGACTTGATGAATTCCTCCTTGGAGTTGGCGGCTTGAGCGCGGTGGTAGGTGTCACCGAAGACGGGGGCTAGGATTCCCAGGGAGGCAGTGTGGGTGAAGATTGTACCCAGCGCAATGGCGGAGGGCTTGACAGGGGGAAGATCTATATGGTAGAGGTTGTTAGTTTCTAAGTAGAGGAGGATAATGAGGATAATAAGGATCTCAACTCACAATGCAAGGTAGTCATTTTGAAGCTATTATGAGTAGTTGTAAAGAGAGAAAGTAGAGTAGAAGAGCCAAAGTACTTTAAGTACAGGGCGTTTCTGCAACCAGGGTTGGTGAGGTGACGTCGTCATGATTCAACGTGTAGGATGCGGAGGGCCATGACGTCAACTCGCATATGGGGATTAGCTACTTTGTACATTCAAGGTTTTTTTTTAGACGAAATCAAGATGGGGAATGTTGGGGGTATTTCTTCTAGTACGTAAGTTCATAGGAGCTACATTGTGGGTAAATTAATTAATTAATAGGCAACCCCTTGGAGGTCCTTGAGAAGTATGCAGGTGCACCACTATAGATCACCATTCGCCATCTAGATGAAATTGCACATCAATTGAATTTCACGAAGAACTTTTTCTTGGGAAACTAGCCCAAGTCGTCTAGAAAGATCCATCAATACTGGGCTTCCGTATGATTTGTTCCCCTCTGAGGTACCATCGGCACTATCCATACCAGATCCGGACATGCATGTAGATCAAGGGCGATTTGCAAGTTGGCAAGTTGGCAAGCTCGCAATACATGACATATATAGTACAATATATAGCAAAGCCCACATGAGATCACAGGGCCGTTTGACACAATTTCAATTTTCATATCTCCCTTTCGGTTCTAACGACTAGCCCCAAAACTTGATTGCGTTTTCCGGGGATCTTTTAAGCGGGGACAAAAAGCTGGGTCCAATCAAAGTCCGACTACGATGTACTCTTTTCTACCACCAAATGGTGCTGCGTAGCTGTTTTAGGTGTATGGATGGTATTCCACCAGTGCTCATTGTCAATAAAACAAAAAGTGGGCACCTCGGGCTATTTGTTTATAGCTGCTACTTGCTGAACTTGTAATTGCCGCTCGAAAGGCATGAAAACTAAAATGAAAATGTATTTCCTTGCAGAATGTGCTGGTCTAATCAAACAAAGGTGCGGCAGGTATATCTGTGTACAGTGATTAGCCTGGATCAATAAAATGGAGAATTGAAGATACATACTTCTCGGGGTAGCCGTTCTCTGTACCAAGCTCGTACTTGGATTGTGAAGACTTCGAGGCAGTGTTGATGTTGGCAGGGTTGGGGGGCAAGCCATTGGCACCCAAAACACCCTGAACGCTCTTCTTATCTTGCTCAAAGAGAGCCGCGAGGCCGCGTTCTTCGCCCTGCTCCTTGACAGCAATCAACTGCTGCTCTCCAGCCTGTCCGATCTTGAGAACGTCGTCCTTGGGGGCTGCCTTGCTTCCGACTGTGAGCAGACTAACAGCGTCGGCCTGGCGCACGGTGCTCAGCTGGGGGTAGCTCCTCCGGACGTCCCGCTTCCAGTATGGGTTGTCGGCGATATCGCCTGCGGGGATGGTGACTGGGTCATCGTAGGCAAGAGGGGGCACTGAGCCCGGGGTGGGGAAACGGAATTGAGAGTTCAGAGGGACACCCGTAGAACGTTCAGGGTCAATAGCGAGAAGGCGACGGATGCGCTCCCAGATGCCGGTGGACTGGACTGTGTATTTCTAGAGCGCGAAGAGGATTAGCACCCAGCGCACGCTCATGGAGTCTGGTCTCCTTATTCCTGTCAGTATAACCTACCTGGTTGACAGAGATGACATTGGATGCCGACTTGGCGGCATTCACGATACCGCGGGCCATGGTGAGAAGACTCTGACCTATGAGTTAATATCAGTCCATTGACACACAAAGTCCAGGAAGTTGTGAGGGGTAGAATTGGGTTCGTGTCCTCGAGTCATTTGACTTACTGCCTGGAATCCCTGAAATCCGTCAAGAGTCTGTAGCAAGCCTTTAGATCGAGCCGGTGCGTCGAGGTAACCCCGGAGGTGCAATCACTGGCACGGATTATCTTGTTGCCGAGCCACCACACAAATTCTTGTATTAGTAATTCGACTGATGGTCTTCAACTTTCAATGATTAACAAAAGCAAAGTCTCAATATGATAATTCTATGCATTTTACTAAGAAAATACTGAACCCAAGATCACTAGAGAGAACATGTGGGTGGAACAGGGAGATATATATAAATTGTTGATACCTCAGGCATAAAGAAATGTTACGGCCTGTAGGTGACCACATAGATCGAGGCCTTGGATGATTCCTCCACATCCACGGCCTTTAGCCATTCTCCTTGCAAGAGCCCAAAGTTTAAGTCTAGTCCTGTCCATGTTTTTCCTCTTGCGGTTTGCTGCACCAACGGAGCTGTCGCTCTTGACATGGTCTTAGTCCCACCTTCAACGACGCGGTACATTTGCGGTTGCTGGGAAGTAGAGTGTAATGGATACCGGAATCGGTAACAGAAGGATGGAATAGTGACAACCGTTGTAGATAAATTACAATTAGCGCTTCTTTACCTAGCAACTGAAGAGGAAGAGCCAAGGCCAAGGGTCAGAGTGACCACTTGCCAGACAACACCAGCCAATATTACATTGCTTCCCGGAGATGTACTATGAGAGGGTATCGGCTGATAAGTATTGTGACTCAATGGAGAGGCAAATAACCAGGGTTAGAAAATCGAATGAAAAGACTGTGACCAACATTACTTTTAGTCGAAGGAAGTGACTCTATCCTAGAATTCGACGGCTATTTTCAAGCCTTGGCCAGACTAACAGCTAGGGACAGGTTTAGACAGGTGAGGAGACAAGATTTGCATTTTCCTGGAACTGACCTGCCAGTGCCCTACGGCCGTAAAATCGCGAATACGAGAGGCTTATGGCAGTGCAGGACTCAGTGACAGTCACTACGAGTCCGAATCGCATTGACGAGATCAAGAGGCGTCTCCATTTACGGCCGTAAAGTTTAAGGGTTTGCTCATAAACTGCCTAGATATTTACCTAGGCTACGAATGAATATCCCCGGATCCAGCCCAGTCAATTACACTTCGGAGTTTATTTTTATTTTAGGTGGTTTTGTTGCAAAATAATTCAATCTAGAGAGCAGTAGAATCAACAAGACAGAGAGGGTATATAGTGTATAGTGTTGAGCAGGCCAAGACTGTTGAATATGCACCTATCGCAAAGTGAATGCCAAATGCGGCAAGGTGTGAATAGACAACGGGGGCTGTATTGATGGAGCCTACATATTTGAACTTCGTTACGGCCGTAAGAACTATAGAATGTCTTGGCGCTAGCTAGGTAGTACAATCAATTTATACTGTGTTCCTTTCGATTATTGTCTTCATCGGATTTATACTTCAAAGACAATATGGTCATCTCTACCCGTCCCCCTGCAAATGCGTTTGTCAAAGTGGCTCGCCGAATTTACAATCCCATCGGCTTTACAAGAGGCTACAATTTTGTTCTCTGTAAGATATCTAGTCCATAATCATGGGGCAGGACATTGATTTCCATAGATGTCATCTTCGCAGGTGCTATACTGGGCTTCTGCCTTGCTCGTCTTCAATTTCTTGCCTTTAATGGCATCTTCTGCAACATGCAGAGCACAACTGGCAGTGCGGCTCCCGGTGAATGCTACTGGTATTCAATGCCACGGTACCGCATTGGAATCATCCTCCATCTTGCTAGCATTCTTCCTGCAGGATTCCTCGTCGTCTTCCAGTTTATCCCCGCAATCCGTCACAAATACCTCACCTACCATCGAGTGGCTGGCTATCTCATTATTCTGCTGGTATTCATCTCCATCGCTGGTGCTCTGATGATAACAGATCATTCTTTCGGGGGTCACATCGCGACACAAACTGCAGTCGGGTTACTTGCAATCGTCTCCACCTTCGGCATCATCAACGCGTACTATAATATCAAGCGGCTGCAAATTGGCCAACATCGGGCATGGATGCTTCGAGTCTGGTTCTGGATGGCCAGTATTATTACACTGCGCATTATCCAGGCTCTCTCCGCTGTTATTATCTCTATGTATCCTTCTGGCTGGTACCAGATTATGCCATGTGCTGAGCTCTTGTATATAGCAAACTCAACCCATATGCCCCTCGAAACAGTCTACACAACATATCCAGTCTGCTCACCTGCCAACTCAAACCTGACAGTCGACAGCCAGGTTATCGTGAAAGCCAACTTCAATGGTAACCCTGAGCAGATTGATGCGGCGCTGGATATAGGCTTCCCAATGGCTATATGGCTCGCGTTGGTTATGCATGCTGTTGGAATTGAGCTCTATCTTCGATTAACGCCAAAGGAGGCTGAGAGGTTGAGAAACGTTAGTTATAAGAGGCAACTGGCGGCTGGAATGAAAAATCCGGGGAGTGCAGGGTTCGTGCCGGAAAAATTGGGGGACATGGATCTTTGGGAGCCGCAGCTGAGGCACAGAGAGGACAGTTCGGAGACAGTGTGGATAGAGGATGAGACGAAGTAGAAGAGTTTTTGTAAGTAATTGAAAAGAGATAGAGATCTCGCATGATTCTATAAATCATCTGAGTGCACCAACATGCTTTATCCGTATTCCCAACCTACCGATACGTACGTATGTAGTTAGTCTTAGGATATACGGTATAAATTGGCCCCCAATATCTAGAAAAAAAAGCCTTAGTAAAGCCTCTCAGAAGCCAGAACCTTAAAGTAACTGTAGAATCTCCCAAGTAAACTATTTCAATGAAATTTCGAGCTTTGATCCCATATCCCACCTCGATATAAGCTATCTATTGAACAGGGAGACATATTTCGCCTAAGTGGTACGAAAATAAAAACACAAATACAGACAATCAATGGGCGACTAATATAATCGTAACTGTTTCATTCAACATCGAGAAAGCATCTATGGATGAACTTCTATCGAAACATGTCGTTAAATAATATCTATCTAAACAAAATATAAGTGACTAGAAAAGCCATGCAAGACTTTTCCTGTAAACCTTCTTCCAGCCAGACAAGTTCTGATCCTCGATGGCCATCATAGCCACATATTCGGCCTCCTCGCGGTCAATTTCAGCCTTGCCGGTCCAGATATCGGCGTTGTGGGGCTTGACAATTTCAGTCTTCTTCCAGAGCTTCCACCCAGCAAATGCCATGACATAGAGGGGGATTCCGATGTATGAAGTGATAAAGGTCTTGTAGTCGAAATTGCCGTATGTCTTTGGGTTGTGAATAAACACACCGAAGCTGCGGGTGAAGACCACCAAGACACAGAAAAAGAGCGAAACGCAGGAACCGATGATTCCCAGGGGAGCCTTGTAGGCCAGTGTTGCCTCGTCAACACCCTGTGCACGTCGGGCGCGAATGAAGAAGATGTGAGTAATCAAGAGGGAGATCCATGTCAACACTATGATAGCAGGTCAGTATACTGGATAAACGGCGAGGTATTTTTTGGTGAGGGTGAAGTGAAGGGAACATACATCCGAAGATTGACACCATATCAGTGAAGTATCCGAAGACATCCTTGGAGCCACTGGAAACGCTCATAAAGGCGAGCAAGCAGAAGGAAGCCGACAGTGCCAGAGCATAGATTGGGACACCAGATCGGTTAGTGCGAGCAAAAATTTTAGGAGCCTTCTTCTCGCGGGCGAGACCGTACAGAGTGCGAGTCGCAATGTACAGATCAGAGTTGGCGGCGGAAAACACAAAGACCAGGATACAGCCGTTGATGATGTGGGGAAGAGCGGCGACTTGCTTCATTGCCACCACGAAAGGTGAGGCAGCAGCAGAGCTCTTGGCCTTGGTCGCGAAGACCAGATCCGGCGAGTTGTATGGAACCAGCATACCGAGGAAGAGTACGCTGAGAATGTAGAAGACGATGATTCGCCAGAAGGTGAGTTTGATGGCTTTGGGGATGGTCTTCCGAGGGTTCTGAGCCTCTCCGACAGTCACACCGATAAGTTCGGTACCTAATAAAAAAATTAGAAGGTGAAATGGGGCAATATTAATCACAGAGTGTCCATACCGAGGTACGCAAAGGTGGCCTGCACCATGGTCGACCAGAATGCAAGGAATTTGCCAAGGGAGCCACCGGTATATTTAGTGGCGAAGGCCCCAGGTTCCTTCCAGTAACGGAAACCTCTTCTGTCGTGATCGGGGCCACCACCAAGTGCAAAGATGAAAGAGCACAGAATAAGTCCCAAAATGACAATGACCTTGAAGGATGAGAGCCAAAACTCGAGTTCACCGAAAATCTTGACACCGAAGTAATTGATGACAATAATTGCTACCATGAAGATGGCAATCCATACACCGGGGTTGACATTCTCTGCTGATGTTTTCGGCCAATAGGTAATGACTAAAGCGGCGGCAGTGAGTTGTGTAGGTGGTAGAATAATATATTTGAGATAGTAGCTAGAAGAGGATTAGATTTTCGAGTTTCTATTGGCTTGGGAATTGTACTCACCACCATCCGAGGGTAAATCCGAGAGCAGGGTCACAGAAACGGCCAGCGTAACCAGTGAAACCGGAAGACAATGGTAGCCAAGCAGCCATTTCACCCAGTCCACACATGACCGTCCAAACGACGAAACCCATAAAGCAGTATGCAATAAGCAAGGATCCAGGCTGATAGAGAATGATTAGTTAATTGAAAAGAGAAGTTGAAGTTGGATGAATATCACATACTCCGGCTCTGAAAATTCAAATTACTGTCAGTAGGGTTTCATGAAACGATTGTGAACAGAAAAACTCACGTCAAAGCACTGCCAGTACCAACAACCAATCCAGTACCGATGGCACCACCGATGGCAATCATAGAAATGTGACGAGACTTAAGCTCTCTGTGAAGCTGAACAGGCTCATCCTGTTCGGTTTCTTTGAAGTCCCCCGAGTTGTCAATGTAGTTGGGTTGCGCCTCAAGGGCGTTAATCTCGTCTGGGTGACCCATCTTGCTATAGGCCGAATCGAGAATTCGAAGATGAAAAGAATCAGACAAAGACAGCGGGGGGGCCACGCGGATTATATGGACCAGCCCAGCACACAGGTTTTTTTAAGCGAATTCCGGGGTCACATTTTACGGTTATCTATGTATCTCCTGTGTCGCCCCTTCCGGTGGAGACCAAATCCTGGAGAGGCCATGTGGGGTTATGTCAGGTTCACGATCCAGTATTTTCTTTATGTAATTTTTTCCTCTGAGAAGTGGATATAAAGTCAATTTGCGGACATATTTCGGGGCCTTTGGGGCAATAACTGATCTTATTGGCCTTGTCGGTCTTGTCTTTTTCTCCAACTCATTCCCCCGCAATATCTTCCCCCGCAGAGTTGAATACATGACAGCAAGAAACTGTTTCCCCCATTGAATGTGTTTATATTTTTTTTAGGTTGTTCCTAGGCCCGCTTAGAAAACCCTATATAAACCTTGGAAAGGTTAGCATAGCCTCTCTCCCAATATATGGTCCGGTGAAAGCGCCAAGTGCGCCAACACTGGGTGGTGGTGTTGGTGTGCTTGGCATCCTTGGCATCCTTGGCACGCTTACCCACGGGATAAGAAAATCTCGACTACGGAGTAAATGATAGCGAAATCTATATACCCGTGAACTGGCCCACATGCTCAATCCTTTATCAGTAGTATCCCTGTCATGTTTCACTCATTTTCTGTGTACATATGTATGTACCTGCCTATGTAGAACGTAAGATAAAAAGTATATTACTAATTTTACATCACAATCTAACTTTCCAAGGTCCGAACTGCCTAATAATATACTCAAAATTCAAAGGCGGGAAGGTTAGTGTGTTCGGGTTCGGGCTAGGCTTTCCGAGGTCAATGAATTTCCCCCACAAGTGTTTAGTAATAGATATCACCAACCTTACCTAGGTAGAGGCTCTTCTAGCCATGATAAGGAGTCTTGGCCAAGTACAACATATAACTCTTAACAAGGTGGATTTAGAGTCTGTGGGTTTGATTTGTATGAGATCTACAATAAGGAGGCTAACTTGATAAATGGGCAGATGGCTAACATTCTAGAAATACTATATACGGAGTAATTTGAGGGGAAAAGGTTGCCACCACATATTTATGCTTTTATAACATTTTATAACATTGGAAGGCGTGCACTTAATTACGGCTCAGCAAACAGAGTTTTTAGCAACCTATCTGAGCGCAAAGATTTCTCTTTTTACTTTCGGAGGCAAACACTAAAAAAGAATTAAAATTAAAATTAAATAAACTCTACTCCGTACTCCGTACCCACTTACACAAAGTCCTTATCAGTACGGATTACAGTTTATTCGAGATAGTGCACGATAGTGCACGGACGGTAGATCAACTCATTCCCGAGGTCGGGCCTTGGCTAAAACGACTAGAACTTCGAAGAGCTTCCAACATATCTATCTTCGCAAAATTCCGAGTCGTCAAGCAACATCCCGAGGCCGTGCGCGACGCCTTTCCAATAACATTTGCGCCCCGTTTAACGGGTAGTGCCCGTTAGTATCAAAATTAAGTTTTCTATTTGAGTAACTTGGAACTGCACATGTAGCTTTGAAACGTAAAATTCTCCAGTTTTAGTTAGGAATTTTAACCAACTTCCTATTTGGGGCCCACTATCCTCTTAACAATCTTAAGAACCTTAGTAGGTTAGGTGTTTAGATTTCAATTCGAAGCCGGGACATGTACCGAGGAAGTCTTCCTAGAAAAGCATCATATAAGGTGTTACAGAGATATACTACTATGTAGGTTGCCAATATTTGTGAGGTAGAAGTCTGTTAGGATATGATAGTTGATAGACCTTGGTCTCACTGCGTCTTCGTTTTGTCCTCTCCGTCCTATCCAGCTGTTTATCCTTTACAATACATGCCCTAGGGTTTCTCACTCCGTTTTCTTTCTGACCAGGCTCTAGCCTCCTTGCTCATGTGAGCTTCCTGAGGTGATTAGAAAGGAAGGATCCATAGTATAACCCGCTACAGTTTTAATTTGTTGTATACTACGCCGATTAGACACTAGCGTCGGCAATAGAGATGAAAGCCCTTCGGCCCAATCAAACCAAAAGCACGTCCACAGGAAGTTATGTTTCGCAGATTGAATATCGCGGCTTCAAGTTCACCAGTATAACGGCTCCATCAAGTGGAATTGTCGCCATGAGTGTTCTTAAGGCATTGAACACTTATGACAACTTCTTTGCCCCGGACAACGTGAATCTTAGCACCCACAGAATGGATGAAGCGATTCGATTTGGTTATGGAAAGTTATGGGGATGTTATACCTTTATATTCCAATCCGCTTGGCTGACTTGTGACAGCGAGCCAATCTGGGCGATCCTTCGTTTATTGAAGGGATGGGCCAATACCAAGAAGACATGCTGAAGCAGTCCACTACTATAGATGTAATCCGTGGGAAGATCTCGGATTTCCACACTCTCAACGTGTCTGCATATGACCCAGAAGGGATTGAAAGTCTTGATACGTAAGCTCACTTATTCTGATAGTATTTTGTTGAAAGGGCTGCTAACAGAGTTAAGTCCCGGAACATCCCACATAGCCGCAACTGATCACCATGGATTGGCTATCTCCATCACTAACTACTACGATCAATTTGCTCTTTGGGAGCCAGTTGATGATTCCAGAAACAGGGATAATAATGAATAATGAGATGAATGGTAGGCCTCTACCTAACGCTCCCTACTCTATATCAGGTTGACTAACTCATATCGCGTTAGACTTCTCCATCCCCGGCTCTTCAAACGCCTTTGGATATATTCCCTCGCCGTCCAACTACATCCGACCTGGAAATCGACCACTCTCACACCCACAATTGTGACCCACTCTGATGGGAGCTATTCTTCATCACAGGAGCAGCGGGAGGAAGCCGAATTGTTACAACTACCATCCAGAATGTTATCCACGCGGTGGATGAAGAACTTTCTGCGTCTGAGGCCCTTGCTCGTCCTCACCTTCATGATCAACCTGGTGCCAAATCAAGTTCTTTTCGAGTATAATTATGACAATTCCACTGTCGAGTACATGAAGCAACGCGGGCACAATGTGACCTGGAGTGAGGCCCAGATCATCCGTGTGCTACAAAATGGGACTTTCGAGGCGGCTGGGGAGCCCAGACAGTCGGACTCTGGTGGCTTTGCGATATAATGTCAGGTTCTTCGTATTTAAAATTCATTTCCTTGCCGTCTTTTTTTAAGAGGTGAAAAAAAAGAAGAGGAGGATTCCCAGCAGTACATCACCAAGATGATCATCAGACCGCGAACTTTGGTTCCAAGGGAAATCGAACTCAGGCCTGTGTCTCGTTAAGATGACAACCTTGCAAGTTTGACATTGCTCTTAACTACTGCACTACCCCGGGTTATTGCCAAGCATAACCCGGACTTTATATAAATCCCCATTAACCTAAGATTTCTAACAATTTACGTAGCCTACTTTATGAAATATACACCGAGTGCTCAGTGAGGAGGACCCTGAGCACATAAAGCAGTAGCACCCCAATCGGGAAAATCGCGACTGCCTAAAATCCGATAGGTAGATCAACATATGAAATAGGTGCCTTACCATAACTAAATAAACTCTGATAGGTCTTTCTATGAGTCATTGGGCCTTTTAGAGAACCATGAAATTATTGATGGAATGAAATAAGATCCTAGGAGCTCAACTGCTCTGTAACGAGGCAGGTAGGTATATCTTTTAAGTGCAATGCTGGATTTAGGATAGAGTTAGAATACCTTTGATAACACATTTTAGCCAAAGGTTGGATGCTTCAACCATGGGGACTATTCTTAGGACAAAATCATGGAAGTACATATCTTGGACGTGGAAAGGTGTGATAAAACAAATAAGATATACCAGGCTCGGTGTGTTTCTTTTGATAGCGTTGAGAATATCCCATTAACTAGAATTATGATGCTAGCAGGTATGTCTCTGTCCGAATATACTCGATTAAATAACATTAAAGGCAAGATAGAGAGATTGGAGGAGTGAAGATAGCCAAACTCCGCATTATCTAGGTTATATCATCGACAAAAAACCATCATCTGGCGCTCTGTCAGATAATATTAAGATAAAGATAATACCCTTTCATTGACCTTTTCCGGATTCCGGCAACTCGTGGACAGTATCTTTGTAGCTAGGTAGCTCTGGCACAGAACCTCGACCGTCTAACTCGCTCGGGACGCCCGGGGACTGAAGAGACTCGTGCTGCAGCATTGATGATTCGGTGACGGGCATCTGCGCTTGAGGTGATTGCTTCTGTGGGCGACGACGCATGAAATACCAAAGCAAGGCGAGAATTATTGCTAGCCCGGCGACACCACCAACCACACCACCTGCGATGGCGCCAGTATTTGAACTGGAGCTACTCGGTGTTGGGGAGCTGCTAGATGCCGGGGAGCTGCTCGACATTGGTGAGTTGCTCGATGTTGTGGAGCTGGTTGATGCTGTGGAACTAGTTGGTGTCAACGAGCTGCTCGATATCACAGAGCTGCTCGGTGTTGGGGTTGTGCCTGGTTATATCAGAGTTGGGCGCATGTCGAGTAAGCAGGACTTGAATCTTACCAAGTGAAACTAGGCTTACTGAGGTCCTACTCTCCTCCTCAAGATCTTGTTTTGTCCCACAGCCAACACCCCCGCCAGTCCTATTAAACCCGTATTGGTCCTGTTCACAACAAAAATGTCCGCCATCATAGTTTCGATAAAGATCCCAGGTTGCGTTGGCGCAGTGTTCTGGGCTACTGATTTCCTGTCTGCAGTCTCCTTTATCTGGACAACATATCCCTGTGTTTTGGTCGTTGCAAGTGTTGCTCGTGGGGCAGCATCGGGATAACGGTTGAGATGTTATAGGATCTGACCCTGCGTCGGTCTGGCATTCTCCTCTAAGGCAGAGGCCAATCCTGCGTACGGCGAATCCAAATGGGGGACCGTAGTCATCCATGATAGGAAAGAAAGAAATAAAATATCAAACAAATGTTGATTAAGAAGAGTAGAAGTCGAGCGTGATGTACATTAACCAAAGGCGAGGAACATAGGACAGAGACAGAAGGAGGTAATGACCTAGTTTATAGAAAATGTTGGAATTTAAGTGCCAACCGAAGCGAGAAAAAAAACCCCCAAACAGACTAGGAAAGCTGATAAACCCCAGGGGACTTTCTTTAGTAGAGGGACCCTGCACTCAGGGCTATATTGGGGCCGCCTTGGCATTCATTATCATCACAGAATCAGTCTAGGCGAAGCTGGTTTCCTGTGTGGTTTCCTGTGTAGGCAACCATGACAGATAGCCTTCTAGTTCAGGCTGCTAAAAGTAGGATGTGCATTCTTTCACGATGACCGCTTTTGTTCGGGGATGCATCAATAAGCGCGAATGCCCATTATGGATAAACGCTTTCTTCGTTGTGAAGGGTGGAAGGTAGGCCGGGGGACAAAGCTCCTGGGGCAGTAGGCCCACTTGGGCACGGCCACCCGTCCAGCAGAACAAGGCAAAGATCAACAATGAAGGTCAAATTAAATAAAAAAGACCAAGAGTAATTCGGAAAATTATCGAATGGACCGAATAGGCAGAGTCAACTCTCTGTCAAAGAGTAAAAGAACACATACTATGTAATACTTGAGGTTGAAAGTAGTGTGCGGGTAAAAGCGAACAGGGCGGGAACGGGGAACGACGTCGGGGGCGTTGACTGCGGGAAGGCGGGAGGCTGACAGCGCAGGGGTAACCTTGGAAAGACTAACTCAAAAGGGCATTCATGGGTGTTCTGCAGAGTATACATGTAGGTACTCGTATAGCCGATGTTGGCACTCGACTTGCACGGTTGTTCCCCCCGTTTCTACTAGCGACTAAAATGACGCCAAAAATGGCTCGCCTTTAGCCAAATCTAAGTCCCCTCTCTTCTCGCCCTATCTAGTTGATAAGATATATCGCCTTCCCTCCCTTCCGGTATCTTTCCGTTTCCTTTATAGCACTCACGCCTGGATATCCGGCTTAAACTGATAAGTACTAATACTGGACTGATCCTATTCCTTACAAAGGAACTCGAGCTAGGCTAGACCATGACATTGAAGCCCTGGTATATCTCAACGCGCACGCAGATATAATCGGTGATAATGTGCTAGAAGCGTCGAAGAAAATGGCTGTTGAACAGGCAGCTGAGAATTTCGGTGATGAATACAAGGCAACTGATATCAATTCGTCTATTGTTGTTGCATGCGACAGCTCATCTAGCTTATATATCCAGGAATTTGTCAATAATGGGACTGACTTCCGTGCAACGCTCGCTGGGTTCATGGGCCTCGGCTTGGCAGATCCGAGTATTCGATTGTATCCTACACAATTAGTTGAAGGGGTTTGCTGTAGTTCCGAGCAGGCTTTTAGAACGGTCTCTCGGGATATGATTGAGATGGCGGACAATAGAGTTCCGTTGGGGCTGGATAGTAGGAGTGCTTGATAGGTCAATCATCTTTTTATCGAGGCCAGATGGGGTGCGGGTAAAACCTGCTCCCATGGAGTGTAGAATAGATGGCTAATAAACCTCATCTTCTACCTTTATTTCCTAGATACGACCTCGGGCAAGTGGGCATGACCTAAGCATCACCGAGTGCCTAGGTATCGTTTGACTGCCAGTACCAGTACAAATTGACCAGGTAACCTTTTAAGGAAGTAGTCCCTGTGCTGCCCAGATGTGAGATACTCAGGGAGAATAACCGCATGAAGCGGTGGCACTCCGATCGAGAAATTCACGTCCACGGCCTAAAATCAGGTTGATACTGCTATATATGTAGGTTTAAGGCCAGTATATGAGACATTTATTCGAGTTCTTTTACATGGATATTCTGACAGGTAAAAAAAAATGGGAACAGACCAATCAAAGTGAGAGTAAAAACAAAATATCAGACCCTGAAGCTTGATATTGATATACAAAGTAAAAAAACACAAAAACTCCACGGCGGTCAGGTTGAGTCACTTAAGTTTACCATGCACTATGACCGAAGAGGCAAAAAACAGTCCACCATATCATTGGTTTTGAAGATTAACGGCGGTACCACATACGTGTGATTCTAGTGTGTCTCATCTTCTTCTGCAGCTGGAAGATACCGTACATCAGTGCCTCGGAAGTGGGCGGGCCTTGGTTTTTGTTAGTTCAATTGCAACAGCACAAGCGCGAGGGAAGAGGGAATGCTTACATCCAGGCACGTAGATATCGACCGGCACAACCCGGTCACAGCCCCGCACGACCGAGTAACTGTAGTGGTAGTAGCCACCACCGTTGGCACAACTGCCCATGCTGATAACCCACCGGGGGTCGGGCATTTGATCATAAACCTGGCGCAGAGCAGGGGCCATCTTGTTTGTCAATGTACCGGCCACAATCATAACATCGGATTGACGCGGAGAAGCACGGAAAATGATTCCAAGACGATCCTGATCGTAACGGGGGGTAGAAAGGTGCATCATCTCCACGGCGCAGCATGCAAGACCGAAGGTCATGGGCCACAAAGAGCTTTGACGAGCCCAATTGGCAATCTGATCAAGGGTGGTCCTGGGTAATATAGGGTCAGCGGAAGTTCAAGGCGCATACTAGATGAAAGTAATAGAGAGCAAACGAACAAGGCATATTGCATAGCACCCTCCTTCTTCTCCTGGCTGGGCAAAGGCACCTCTACGCGGGGCTTGCCTGACGCGGTCAATTGCTGGGCGGGTGCTGATGGTTGACGCTCGAGTGCTGTCGCTGATTTGATGGACGAGGTCGAAAGGGCCGCGAAGGGTTGGGCACGGGGGATAGAGGCAACGAAACGGGGTCGCGCAGCTGTTTTCTGTTAGTGAATTGATATTGTCGATGAGGCGAAGAAGATCCCTACCGCACAGAGCGCCAGAGATGGCGGGCCTCGCCATCGGAAGCATCTTGAGAAAAGTCTCTTCGGTGGAGAGGAACAAGTAGAATAGAAGGTCGTGATCTTGGAGGTTAAAGAGGCAAGGAAATTGCAGCCTCAGCCAGTGACGACAGGTAATATAGAATTACAAGAGGGCAGAGGTGGCGGGCTCCGGGTAACTGCAAGACAAGGAGAACCCCAAAAAGGTTCCGATTCCAGAGTGGAAGAAGATGATGTATACCGGCGGTTTGACAGAGATGATGTAAGCTATTACCTCACAGCTCATTGGCCCAGAGGCTGTATTTTTCAATCACGGAACCAGGTATGGTAAAAGCGGTGAGCTGCTCGTAAATGGAATTGCCTGTGTGGTCATTGGCTCTTAGCTCCATTTGCTGCCTCGATGCCTGAACGCGTCTTCTCCATACGTTATGCCGCGGGGGGTTGGAGACAGCCACTCCACTGCTGTCTACACTTTGATTGCAAAGTACCTGTCTTTTGAAAGGGCTGCTCAATTACAGATCATTGTGGACATTATATGGAGAGATAATACCTACCAAAACTAGAACTCTCGCTCGATCACGGTGTCAAAACAAGGGAATCAGTCCCTAAACTCCAAGAGCTCAAGTGGTTGCGCCCAGTCCAAATACATTGTCACTTCAAGAGCTATCAGAAATGGCTGGTCCCAAAATTGCCTGTATTGGTGTGATTGGGAAAGCAGTACGTATCGCTCTACCAAGTTGTCCCTTTGGACTTGTTCATACTAACCCGATTGCAGGATAACCCTCTTCACATTTCCCTGTTTCCCCCATATTCGGATTCCACTATCGAATTCTCCTTCTTACTGAACTCCTGCCTCGACATTTTCGACATCCGGTGCAAGCAAACATCCATTGATCAGGATCTAGGTCTATTACATGCAATTGACGAACGACTTGCGGCCTATGGATGGTTGACGACCACGGGGGTAAAACTATTGATCATTGTGGATTTATTCGGTCAGGAAGAGGCCAGCGCTGGAAAGCAACCAGGCGCTGCGATTAATGGTTTGAGAGATTCTGATGTGAAGCCGGTGTGTTTTTCCTCGATGCTTAGCGAAGGCTTATCTGCCACAAGATCCCAACCCCTAACTATTCCATATAGGCATTCCGCGCATTACAGAGTGCATATATCCAGCTTTTGCAGAATCCATTCTATTCCCCCGACGAGCACGTACCGATTCCCGGGAATACAGCTTCTTCTTTGTCCGCTTGCCAACCAATCTCTAACAAAAAGTTCGTTGCGGATGTTAAACGTATTGGGGAGTCGTGGGCCCCAGGTACTTCTCTGTAGGGAGAGTACCAATGTCACACCTTCAGGATACAGATAAACCCCTCGGTCAACCAGTTTCCTCAACTTACATTCGTATTAAACAGCAATAATCTCACCAAACTGTTCGAATATTATCCATATTATTTCTTTGGTCATTAAACTACAAGTATTGTCGGCTTATGCGGCCTTGTCATGTCTTTTTAATGGTCTATTGAGATGCTCTCTCACATGTCTTTTTAAGGAGCGTACGATAACGATAAAAAAAGCATATTCTGTGCAAGAGACTTTTCTATGTATAGCCTTTGACTTCGGATTTCCACTTTGTATGGTGTATAAGTAATGAGGATTCTGAATATAATAGAACAGACAGGAAAAGGATGGCTATTTTGTCTCATGCTGATTCGGGTTGGTAGTCTTCAGTTTCGACTTCAGTTTGTTCCAGGGCAACCATGATCTCTGACATCTCACGAGGGTCGCAAACAGCCCACACTCCACCACCTTTGGTGTCAACTCTCCCAACCTCTTTGCCAACTAAATTCCTGCCGACCTTTCCTGGTCCAATTCCGATCCACCGCCTCACGCCTCGTTCCTGATCAAGATAGCGAATGCTATCCCACCACCTCACTGTATCAGTACACTGTCTTGAAAGGAGATCCTTGATGTCTTCCTTAGACTGGAATGGCAAGGCGGAAACATTTGATATGCATGGAATTGATGCTGGGAATGTGATGTTGATTTTGTCGAGGGCATCTCTCATATAATCCGCAGCTAGCGTCATAGCAGGGCTATGAAACGGGCTGTCACATTTCAGTCTGACAGCCCGTGGGTCGTGACCTCCAAATTGACGCATTTGGACCAGAAGGATTTTGATTCGGTCAAGACTACCACTCAGCACGATTTGATTTTTCGAGTTGATGTTTGCGACCACCACTCGTTGAATTGATGGGACACGGTTATCCCTGTCGAGTTCAATGCCCGGTGATTCGGGGCCAATGAATTCCTGAACCGTTCGAAGCAAACCTTCCAGGTGCTCGGGTTCGCAGAGAAGTGCAACCATGCCATATGTTTCACCCGACTGCTCGGTCAATTGGCGCGTACACTGCGCCATCATTTCAGCTCGACCACGAACTAACTGTAAAGCGTCTCCGAATTCAAGATGGCCTCCAGCAACCAACGCGGAGAACTCCCCGAGGCTATGTCCAAGTGTAACATCGACCCGAGATTTAGTGTTGAATCCGAACTCCTGCTCCAGGATACGAAGTATCAAAACTGAGATTGCCATGACTGCAGGCTGTGCATTTTCCGTTTGGTTGAGCTTGGAGTTGGGGCCATCAGATATAATGCTGGACAGTTTGAACCCGAGGGTGCTATCCATCTCGTCCAAAACTTTAGCCGCGGTGTGGGGGGAAGCTTTCAATCCAGGTGTTGGCCATGCCAACCCTTTGGACTCCATGCCCTGTTGTATATTAGCGGCCATTTTGAGGTTCAGAGGTAAAGGGGGAATGGGGGCGGCAAACCTGGGAAAAAGAGGGCTGTGTGCAGGTCTCGTCTGAAGGGCAGGACATTAAGGTTCATCGGTCTCGAAGGTGTAGCCAAAACTTGCGACGTGACATGCACAAAGGATCTAAGCCGAAGGTGACCCCTGGGATGCGACAAGCGTGAGAGCATCTTCTTTATAGTTGCAGCTTTAAGCAACCCTTTGGGGTCTTGATCTTGACCGTATCAACACAACATATGAGCATGGTGGCTATTTCGTAGTCGCGAGAGTGAGATCCGCTATCCCATGGAGCGAGGGAGAGTTGTATTCAGTCCATGCTAGTGTTTATCAAGGGAGTAGTGACCTCCGTGTGGGGTTAGATGGGGGATTCACGTGAGCTCCTTTTTTCGGGGTAATCGGCTATGCAAAGATTTCCCCGTATAACCCGTCGACTGTCACATAGGTACGTATACAGAGACCTCAATGGAGCTTACACAATTATTATATACTATACTTATTTTATTCATTTTCTGAGAGCGATCAATAATATATACACATGTTTACCTACGTACTTTAACCTCATAGAATATAGCTAAATACCTAATTGAGATTGGTGTACTAGTGTATGTATTTTATTGGTATTTTCTCTATACCAATTGTTACCCAAGTATGCAGAGCCCCACATTTCAATAAGCAGAATAGGCTCAAATCATGCAAAACATTATTCTGAAGGTCAATTGAATGATTATTCATGTACGATGTATGAATCTATAATGTATTTTCATTGTGAAT